TTAATTCAACAAATGCAGTTATTTGACTAATAATGGCTAAGTCCAAGAAAAACATTCTTGATTACTCTGTAAACTTATCTAAATCTTTTGTTTAAATAAGCCTATGAAGAGCAAATGAGAGAATTGGAGTTTATAGTTTAAAATAGTTTCTCCAATAATATTAGTGTCTTCTTTTTGCCCCATCCTAGAAATAATGCAAAAGAGACCCTTCCTAAGACACTGTGAATTGAGGGTAGACTTTATCCATATACCCCATAACTACCCTCCTAGAATCCTGACAAGTAAGAATAATCATAATCATAACAGCAATACAAAAAACAGTCATCCAGTCCAGTATTTTTTAAAAGAGCACTCTTTCCCACGAGTGGATCCAGAAATCACTTTAGTAGGCTTTGACCAGAATTTTTAATATGAGAAAATAACACAAAAGAAACAAGTGCATCATACGTAGTAAGCCTAAGGAGTTTGTGAAACTTTTGTTGGCTTTATGTATGTGTGTGCTCCTACAATGGCATGAATTGTTTTTCTGTGGATTGCAGTCTAAAAGGCTGAAAAACCGCTGATACTTCATTTGAAGTTCTACACTTCATTTGAAAGGTGAGTCTGTGTGGCCTTAAATGGTGGTTCCAGGATACACAGCTGGTTAGTGACAAAGCTAGGGTAAGAACTAAGTTCCCCAGTCCCAGGGGAAAGGCCAGTGTGTTCCACGGGGGCATGGGGGTGAGGTGGGGTGAGGGTGGCGTCTGCCACAGGTCCATCTCTGGGAGAAAATTATGCTTAGTAGATACTTTTAGGAAGTAGAAGGGGCATCCGGGTTGGGATGGGGTCAGTAGCTTTGGGGTCTCCCTGTGTGTTTTAACCCAAGCCACATTATATTACTGCATAGTGGGCACACAGTACATTTAGACCTTTCAATCTCTTGCTTGCCATTATCCTCTCACAATAATAATCAAGCAATGCCTGCAAAGTATTCATATTGAGTTGATATTTGAGCTGTCTCCAGAAGTCTCGTTGAGGGTTTTATCACCTCCCAAGCTAGTTGTACCAGGCCCGATATGGCAAATAGGTGATTGATGTCCGCTTAAGCAATTGCTGTAGGGCAAACTGAAACAGGTTGGCCTTGGCTAAGAGAGGAGAATAAATACTTTTCATACTGAGAGGTAGAGCATGATTACACCTTCAAGTACAGTGACCTGTACTTGAAGACAGAAACCAAGGTGGCAAGCAGGCCTGTCTTAGCCACACACAATCTAAGTGGTCCTACCATCACCCCTGAAGACTGAGTTCCTGGGCAACCCTTGCACGCCACACCCATTCACTCCCTTAACAATGACTGAGAATCCCCCCGTGGGCCCAGTGCTGTGAGTTCAAGGCACCCTGAGGACTGGTCTTCTTCTCAACGCGGCTTTACCCCACACCAGGTGGGCCGATGGTCTTCAGGAAAGTGATTTGAGAGGTCTACTCAAATGCCTGTATTCCTTGCTCTGTGGACAGGTTTGTAAAATTAACCAAAGGATGGAAGGTACATAGTACCAGATTTCTTCATCAGGGCGAAATGTAGGGAAAGGAGAAAGAAAAGGTAACCCGAAACCTGATGAAGGCTGAGGGAGCGACTTCAAGGAGAGAGGAGACAGAAGCTATGTCCTCTTTGCAGTGCTGGTTACAGCCCAGAGCGTCTCAGACTTGATCACGTGCCGGGATGCTCTGGGGATCTTGTGAACATGCTGATTCTGGTGCAGAATGAAAGAGAAAAAAAATATCTTGTCCTTTAAAAAATGTACTCATGTAAAGGAGGGCAGGGACATTTTGTTATGGCGATACGTTCTTCACACTGTTCTGCTAAAGCTTTTTGCCAAAATAGACTTGTAAAAATTACATCCATGTCAGCTGATCTTGTTGACATAAGTAAATATACCAAATTATCTCTTTGTTTTCTGGACTGCCCTCCCCCCCCACCCCCAACTTAACCAAGGCAAGTTTTATTCTAAATTCTTTTAAAATGTGTACTAAGAACAAAATAAAGAAGCTTCTCTTGGGAAAGCAAGCGCTAAAGTAATTTTTAAAGTAATAAATGCAAATCAAAGCAATAGGAAGAAATATTGCTTAATAAATGGTATTTTTCGGGCGCCTGGGGTGGCTCAGTTGGTTAAGCGACTGCCTTCGGCTCAGGTCATGGTCCTGGAGTCCCGGAATCAAGTCCCACATCGGGCTCCCTGCTCAGCAGGGAGTCTGCTTCTCCCTCTGACCCTCTTCCCTCTCATGCTCTCTCTCTCTCATTCTCTCTCTCTCAAATAAATAAATAAAATCTTTAAAAAAAATAAATAAATGGTATTTTTCTTGGGGACTACTCAATATTTATAAGCAAACTTTTTGAGTTTGGCAGTGAGAAGAAAAAAGGCATCTGTCTTATAGCAAGCCTTAGGGGTAAGGATTCATGCCATTTACAGGAAAGGCTGTGCAAAATTTAATTTTATTTGGGAGACCTTGGTACAATTCTTGATTTAGATCATCATAATTATCATGTGACATCAGGGCAAAAGAACAGAGCTTTTTTCTTCTGAAAATGCACATATTTATTAATGTTCTTAAAGAGGAAACATGTTTATGTGCCTAATCCAGTTAAACTTTTTGAAAAGTATTGGTCTTGTGCAGTTTTTTCTTATTAAAAAATATCTATCATCCTGGGTAATTTTTTTTCTCATTAGTATGTATATTAGTTTTTTATTTGCCATTGTAACTACCACAGACTTAGCAGCTTAAACAACATAAATGTATTATCTTACAATTCTGTAGGACAGAAGTCTGACACGGGTCTCACCAGACTAAAACGAAAGCGTTGGCTGGACTCTGTTCCTTTCTGTACGGTCTGGGCCTTTTCTAATGGTCACCCGTGTTCCTTAGCCCCTTCCTCTACCTTCAAATGGTAAAAAAAAAAAAAGACCAGCTCATCACCTCCCTCTTCCACCGTTAAAGACCCTTGTGATTGCATTGGTTCGGCCTGGATAATTAAGGATAGTTTCCCTCTTTTAAAGTTAGCTGATTAGCAAACTGAATTCCATTTTGCCCTGTGACCTAATTTCAGGTTCCAGAGATTAGAATCCAGACTTCTTTGAATATATGTCATCGGGAGGGGCGTTATTCTGCCTACTGGATCTTCTGAGAAAGGACTATTACAGTCTGGGTACAGATGTCATGAGCGTGGTGCCATTATATGAGAATTATGTTCAGATTGCATTGCTCACTGGTGAAAATTGTTGGAGCGCTTATAAAACAAAGTATTTCTTCTTTTGCTGCATTTACCTTTGATTCTCATATACCTACTTTCCAGTAATGGAAATCTTGGGGTAAAACTACTCTACTCTATAGGATTAGATGGACCCTTTAATCTCTGACTTATCCAAAATTTATTGAGATGGAGAGGGTTATTTGAAATGGTTTAGCACAGGGGTGTCTGGGTGGCTCGGGTTGGTTGAATGTCTGACTCTTGATTTTGGCTCAGGTCATGATCTCAGGGTCCTGGGATCAATCCCCACATCAGGGTCTGCGCCCAGCAGGGAGTCTGCTTGAGAGTCTCCCTCCCTCTCCCTCTACCCTTCCCGCCCATGCTCTCTCTCTCTCTCTCGTTCTCTCTCTCTAAAATAAATAAATCTTAAAAAAAAAAGTTTAGCACAGCGTTTCTCAAATGGGGCAGTTTTTGCCCGACCACCCTCCCTCCTGGGGACATTTGGCCATACCTGAAGATGTTTTTGATTGTCACAGCTGAGGGCTCTGTCCTACTGGCATCTGGTAGGCGGAGTCCAGGCATGCTGCTAAATATCAATGACAACAGGACAGGCCCTACCACAAGGAATTATCCAGTCTAAAGTGTCAAGAATGCCCTATATGTTAATTAATTGAATGTAAATAAAATAAAATAAAATAATTTTTAAATAAAAATATAAATGTATATAAATAAATATTTAAAATATGCAAAAATAAATAAATAAATAGTCAGTAATGCCAAGGTGGAAAAGCCCTGGCTTAGTGGCGACCTAAAGCCCTCCTCCCCTTTTCAAAGGCTCTTTACATTTCAAAGGTGAATTAGATAACTAATTAGTTAATGGATCAGCCACTAAACTTTGGGCCAAAGAACAGCTGAAAGAAATAGAGAAGATGGGTGGGTCAGTGCGGGCCAGATTTCCTCCAAGAAACTCAAAGATCAAACTTACTGCTTGGGGTCAACAGTTTATTCTCACTGGGTGTTGGAGAATCATCTTGTTTCTTGTTTCTCTCTCTCTCTCTCCCCAGGGCCCAGCACAATGCTTGGCAACACCAAATGCTCAAGAAGCACTTTAACAAATAAAAAGGATAGTGTGTCAGGGGGGCCTGACTGGCTCAGTCAGTGGAGTGTGGGACTCTTGATCTTGGGATCATAAGTTCGAGCCCCATGTTGGGTATAGAGATTGCTTATAAAAAATAAAAAATAATTAAAAAAAGGATAGAGTGTTAAGGGATTTGTTTGAGTTTATAAGTAGTGAACAAGGTATTTCCCTTCTGTATGCTGAATATTGCAACTTATTAGTGCTTAGCACATAGAGTAGCCTGTTTTCTGAGCTTCATTTTAACATACAAGTCATTTGAAGTCTTGAAAAGCTGTAATATTAGGATTGAAAGCAAATTCAGTTGAAGGCCATTGAGAGATAACCTCAAATCTCCCAACTTTTCCATCTGCATTATGATTTCATGCTATGATATCTCTTAAACTCTATTTTGCAGGCTTGGGCACACATTATGACCAAAAAAAATTATGCAAATATATTTTTTTACTGGTGGCAAGGCAGGGTTCATAACCATCAACTATTCACACCATAAGCTTTTGAGGTTTTGCACACCGACAATGGAAAATCTAACGTGAAAGATAATCTACCAAAAATATAAGCATAACTTGGAGGCTTCATTGATGAAATGCCACCCTTCTTTCTTGGTTCTCATTTCTGCTTTTCTTCTTTATCAACATGCAGGTGTCCCTGGCTCCATGCCAAACGCATCGTGGATCGGTAACCTCAGGGCTATAAAGTGGATTGACATGGAAGATAAACACGGAGGCTGCCATGGTGAGCCATTCATTCCACACTTTGAGGCCACAGTGCTTGTTGGTGTTGGCATGAAGGTCGTGAAATACAGGGGTTCTTATGGAGAGAACTGCTGGTATATTTAGAACAATCTGTGAGTTCTTAGAGTAGCTAGAGTCTTCAAGACATGGTAAATTTAGGAGGCAGGGGTGCCTGGGTGGCTCAGTTGGTTAAGCATATGACTCTTGATCCTAGCTCAGCTCTTGGTCATGAGTTCAAGCCCAACACTGGGCCCCACGCTGGACATGGCACCTGCTAAAAAAGGAAGGAAGGAAGGAAAAGAGAGAGAAAGAAAGAAAGAAAAAGAAAAAAGAGAAGAGAAATGACATGAAGTTATCTCACTGATGTTCTCCAACTCTTGATTAGCAAGTGGGTGTAGAGGCGGGCTCAACTTATGATGATACTTTCTTGCTAGTTTCTGCTTTCTTCTTACTTATTCCTCTTTCTGTTCCTTTTGGGATTGCAGTGGTTAGGAGGGGAAAGTGGTCATGATGAGACGTGATGTCAGGTTCTCACCACGGAGCAAGCTGGACCTCCACCCCTGCCCCTCACACCAGCCTGTCCCCCCTCCACGCCCCCACCCCGCACACAAGCTTCCAGCTGGCTTAGAGGTATTTGCTGCAGCTCTGGCATGATGGCAGGCAACACTAACAAGATATTTCTCCTCCAGACGGACAAGAATGAGATCGTTCCTTTCTTTCTTTCTTTATGTATTTGAGAGAGTGCTCCTCCATGAACGGGGTGGGGCGCAGAGGCAGAGGGAGAAGCAGACTCCCCACTGAGCAGGGAGCCCGATGTGGGACTCGATCCCAGGATCCTGGGATCATGACCTGAGCTGAAGGCAGACGCTTAACCGACTGAGCCACCCAGGTGCCCCAGTTGTTTTCATTTCTATAGAACTTTATAAAGAAGGGCTTTCATCAGCCCTGGTCTACAGTCCATTGAGATTCTTGCCTGGTACCTAGTGAGCCTGGTATTCATTCACTAGGGCTAACATAACCATGTATGAGAGACTGGGTGACTTCAACAACATAAATTTATTTCCTCACACTCCTGTGGGCTAGAAGTTGGAGAGCAAGGTGGCTACAGATTTGGTTTCTCCCGAGAGGCTCACAGATGGCCACCTTCTTCCCGTGGCCTCATGTGGTCTTCCTTCTGTGTGTGTCTGAGTTCTCATCTCCTCTTTTTATACCCACACCAGTCATACTGGATTAGGGCCCATCCTGTATGACCTCATTTTAACTTGAATAGCTCTGTCTCAAATATGGTCACAGTCTGAGGTATGGGGGGCTAGGACTTCAACATATGAATTTGGGGAGGGGGACAATTCAGCCCATAACAGGAGGTGGGCAAGTGGTTAAGTGAAAGAGCAAGTGTGAGGGTTTCACCTTTGTTCCCTGTGGTGACAAAGCTTTGCCTCCTCCACTCGTCCATCCACCTGCAGTTTCTGGCTTCCCTCTTTGGTCCATCGCATTGACAATATTTCAGAGGAAAACCTCCAAATGGGTGCCTCTTTGCAGTTCTCCATTACACTCCACCCCTTCTCCTGTCTTTCTGAGCGTCCCCTTCTGCTGCAGATGGCAACATCCTCATGTCACTGTACAGTTTGCTCTTCAGCGTATTCATGTCTTTACCTTAATCAGCCAACATATTGTCCCCAGAGGACAGCCCGTGCCACCTGCCTGCATTTCATCATGGCCTGCCCTCCTGGTAGAAGGAGGAAGGTGGAGAGGAGATTGCTTTGCTTTTGGATGTCCTAAGTCTTCTTTATTTTATTTATTTATTTTTTATTTTTTTAAAGATTTTATTTATTTATTTATTTGAGAGAGAGAGAGCACATGAGAGGGGGGGAGGGTCAGAGGGAGAAGCAGACTCCCTGCCGAGCAGGGAGCCCGATGCGGGACTCGATCCCGGGACTCCAGGATCATGACCTGAGCCGAAGGCAGTCGCTTAACTGACTGAACCACCCAGGCGCCCCTAAGTCTTCTTTAGAAAAGAGACCATCACCATCAGTCGGGGTCTCAATATTTGAGATGTGTTGACTTCCCCAAAGTGCTCCCACAACCCTGTCACCCTCCTTCTAGGCCCACCGTGGTCATCCTCTGATCTGCTTCTCCACCTCCTCTCCAGCTGTAACTCGTGAGAACTTCAGCCTCCACAGCAGGGACCCATGTGACATTACTTTGTGGCTCCAGCCCCCACCACAGAAGCTTCTGTCCCACTGCATCAGTCACCAACACCCTGCCCCTCTGTCAAGCCTTACCCTCAGTCTCCTTGTCTTCACCTGTGTCCAGGCCCTACCCCATAGAGAAGGTATAGGCTAGTCAGGTTTGCATTTTTAGAGGGATCTTTACTTATCACATGACAGGTGGGCCCATGAGAGTAGCCCCGAGCCAGGGACCTACCTAGGGTACAAAGCTTGGGCAGCCCAAGCCTCTCAGACAAATGTCTCATTTTTCTTCTCTTAGCACCTTTTATGCCAGTGAACATCTGAAAGCCTTGTACGGTACAGAGCAGAAAAATAGTTTGTCCCCCAAACCACTAGATAGGGAAAAGAAAAAGGACCCAGAGGAGGCAGAACAGTGCATGCCAAACCAGCAAGTCAGGAGTCCAATCTGGACCTTTTCCCCTTGGTTGTGAGTAATAGGATTTGTCCTAAACCCATGGCTGTGTACCCGCTCTGTAGGACCTGTTAGCACTTAGAATCACAGGACCACCTAGCTCTGTGGTCTTGAAGTTGGAGCTTCCACCTTTGATTACAGTCTCTTTGTCGCTCTCCTAGTTTTCTTCACCACCTTACTATCTTCCTGTCTTTCTCCCCAGAGCAGAATAGAAGCTCCCAAGGGGGCTAGGATTTTTGACCAATTTGTTCATTGCTATATCCCCACACCTAAAATATGTTGTTGTTGTTGTTGTTGTTGTTGTTGTTGTTGTTGTTTGAAGTGTGGTTGCTTTTTTAAAATTGGGATTGCCAAGGTTTCAACTGTCCCAGCTTCTTCCTTCTACTAGCTTCCTTCTGAGGACTCCCTGTCCAGCCTGTGTACTGGGTCAGCTGTCCCATGCTGTTCTCACTCAGCATTCCAGATTCCTCTGCCATTTGACCCTGCAAGGTCCATTCCTATGCATAACGATTCCCAGCATCTGCTTTATGCCATTTGTGTTTCCCTAAGCAGAACATCACTGGAGACTCTTACAGAACTGTCCCAAACTCACCCCCGAGAGCGAGGCTAGACCCTCCTGGCTGCCTACTCATTCTTTTATTTACCTCATTATCTTCCTGGTGTCCTTTTCATCTTTCCTGCTTGCTTTAACCTCTTAATCTTACGGCCTTTCCACCCTCAAAAGGTAACAATTTCAACTTGAGGAAGAACTTTCGAGACATTCCGTCGAAATCCCCTTACCAGTTTGTCACGCCACCTCCATTCCTCCATCTCAGGGTACTTTGGACACACACTCATTGTTCCTTCCTGTTCTGAGAGGAAAAGCTACCCATGCTCACAGCCGGGGCCTGGGGGTCTCAACTTTGTGCAGGTTCCCCTAAACGATCCCCTTGCTCTCTTGCCATCCTGCGTTGCCCTCTGTGCTGGTGGGGAGTGATTCTCTTCTCTCTCAAGTGTGGACTGATTGCCTCTAGCTGGAAGACCAAGTTGTCTGTGTAGCCTCTACTCCATGCACATGAAAAGGTCGCTCCTGTTCACTTCATTCTCTTAAGCATGGACGTGCTGCTTGTGCATTCACTTCTCACCACCTCCCCCCGGGTACTCCTCTGACTTCCCACAACTCTGGCTTCTGTGCCCCATGGTTTCCACTCTCTGTTGTGCTTCCTCCCAGGCACATTAAATTAATCACAAGTCCTGTCAGCCCTTCTCTGTTCTGTTTCTAATACCCTTCCTTCCCCACTCATGGCAACCATTCACTTTGAACCGGTTCTCTGGTTTACATTAAGTTGTTAGTGTGGCCTCCTGATTGATTTCTAATGTACCCTGCAAAACTCTGCAAAATTAATCTTGCTAAAATTCGTTTCACCATTTGATTCTTCCATTCAAAAATCTTCAAAGACTTTCCCTATTTATGGGATTAAAAAAAAAGGCCCAGCCCTTTAGTTTGTTTTAGGTCAGTCGACCGTAGTCAGTCTACTCTATGCCAAGAAACCTCTAGAAAAGAGGTTCAACTTCCTACCATTTTTCTTCTAACCCACTTCCCAACCAAACTCCAGATTCTAGCAGAGAATTCACACCTTTGCACATTTTTTCCAGAGGCATTGTCCCCAAATGAAGCCACCATCTGTACCCCTGATGCTCCCCCCCCCGCAGTTCTATGCTTCCACTAACTCTCCACTCATCCTTCTCTATCCATTCACTCAGTAGCTATTAATGTAACTCCAAATATTTACCAGGTACTGTCCCAGATGCAGAAGACCCAGAGGGGAACAAAATGGTCTCAAGTTCCAGCTCTTCTGGACCTTATGTTCTAGTCCTGGGAGAAAGACAATAAACAATTATCTGGAAAGAAATACAATAAACAAAATATTTGACTCCGTGGCACTGACACACACATCTGTCTGTTGGTAATGAGAGCCAAGAGGAAAATTAATCAGGGAAGGAGGAAAGGGAGGTCAGAGGAGGCCTCACTGAGAACACAGCCTTGAGGCAGATAACCTGGGGTGTGGTGTGAGAGGGAGCCTCCAGGATGTCTGGTGGAAGGGGGCTGGCAGGGGGAGGAAGAGCAATGTGGATTCTCAGGTACAGCATGCATGGTGTGCTCGGATCCATCGAGGAAGCCAGTGTGGCCGGAGTGAGTGAGCAAGGGTTGTAAGTGAATGAGCAAGTGGTGGGAGGTAAAGGCCAGACTCTGAGGAGTTTTCAGTGCCATTGCTAGCATTTTGGCTCTTCCTCCACATGAGATGAGAAGCCCTTAGAGGGTTTTGAGCAGAGGAGACATCATGATGTGCTTAACATTTAAAACAATCGCTCTGGCTGTTGTGCTGAGAATATACTAACAGACCAAGGTGGAGGCAATTATTACCGTAACAAGTCAGACAGGATGGTGAGGTGGTGTGGGCCCGGATGGTAGTGGTGGAGGCAGTGGAAAGAGATCAAATTCTGTTAGTATTTTGAAGGTTGAGCTGACAGAGTTGCTGACAGATTGGATGTGGGGTGTGAGAGAAAGGAGGAGAAGTACCCAGGGGGACTTGGAGGTGGGTGAGGAGTTGAGTCTTGACATGTCCTATCAGTGAGGTTTATTCTCATCTCAGTGGAGATAAAAATAGGCACTTGGAGAGGCTCACAGAACAGGCCTGAGCAGTGCAACCCATCAAGACCTGTCCCATCTGTACACTTCTAGAACCTCTCTCATCCATCATGCTCACTTGATAATACACGAATTGTCCTGACACCTATTATGTTCTCGCTTTGTATTATTTCACTCTCCTGTTATTTAAGTACCTATGTGTTCCCTTTGTCTTCCTATAAAGAGCTGAACTTCCTTGTGGGCTGGGCCTACACGATCCTGTTTCATTCAAATCCTGTAGCACACGGCACGCTTTTAGCTACTCCATAGGCAGGCAAGACTCTACGGCTGGGCAGCCTCACTACCCCCAACTTTGGAAAATCAGCATTTTCTGACTGTCTCTTGTTCTCTCCTCTGCAGGCCGCTATGTCCACGGCATCTGTATCTATGGAAACGGAGACTTGAAGTGGTTGATTAATTCGCCCAGCCTCTTCGCTAACAAGTTTGAGCTTTCCACGTACCCCCTCACCGTGGAATGCCTCGAACTGAGGCTTCGAGAAAGAGCCCTAAATCAGAGTGAAACAGTAATACAGCCCAGCTGGTATTTCTGATCCACTGTAACACGGGCTCGACAGGCGCTCGCAGCTGGGAAGAAGAGCCTTTCTTTGTGAGAGAACTTTGCCTTGCTTATGTGAATAGTTGCCAGAACGAGGTTACGGCTACAGGACCTGGCCATGTTATTCTGTGTGAAACCATCCACTGGACACTGTGAACTCTGCTATTGGGATGGCTGCACAGGGCCATGCCGGCATTTTGGCCACAATGGCGGCCTCCTGACGCTCCTACGTCATGCTAACTCTCTGATCAGTGATCAACTGAACTGATGTCAAACCTTTGCACCGGATACTCATTATAGAGAAATGTTCTCATGAAAAGAAGAACTGTAGATAATACTATTTAGGAAAATAGGAATTGTGTTTCTTTGAAGGAATCTTCTATGAGAGATCTATAGCCACGCATCTGTGGACACCACTCCTCTTTGCTCAGCCGCATGTAGGCATAGAAACAACTTTCTGGGCAACTCAGCAATCTCTTTTAAAACTTGAGCTACCAGAAGGGAAAACTAGATCTTGTTCCCGGGTTTCAACACTAACCTTTCCAGTTTACTGTGTCTGAAGTCCTGTATAGGAGGTAAAGTCATTGACAGGAGGCGGGATATGCTTTCCGACAGCAGCCACTACCTCCTGCTTCAGCAAAGGAATCCCAGCAAAACAGGACATTTCTTGTGGTGAGTCAGAATGTTCGCTAGTCCCCCTGCCATTGCTTTCCATGGACAACACTGCAACGTTCCCACAGAATGAAGATATTTCTAGAAGAGAGGTGCTAGTGCATGAATCTTGTCCCAGGTCTCTAACCTCAGAATGAATCACTTTCCTCTTCGGTCACCACCCTCCACCCCCACCACAGTGATCTTACCTGCAAAATGGAGTCTAAATTCTACACCGTGAAGGCTTTAAGGACTCCAGAGTATTTTGAGTAGCTTATTCTCAGTATTCTCTGAGTAGCTTTACAATGCTTAGTGCTGATAAGAGTGCCTAGAGTTTTAAGAGCTTTCCATTGTGAGTGAGCATCTGTGTCTCTTATCCTTTGTGCTTACACTCACCCCTTATCCTTTATCCAATTCGTTCACTCAGCATGCAGTCAGTAAATATTTCTTGAGTGCCTGTTGTATGCCAGACCCATTTGACACAAGGAGAAAATGAAGAGAGAAGCTTTTTCACTCTAAAATTCTTGGTAATAGCTCCAACGTTGGAAAGGCTGCTCTAGAGAATCTCACGGATTGCTTGTATTTTAATGCATTCATATGCAGAGTTATAGACTGGGATATCAGGCCAAGAATATGAGTGATTAGAAGTCGAGGTCTAGGGGCGCCTGGGTGGCTCAGTCAGTCAAGTGTCTGCCGTCGGCTCAGGTTATAATCCTGGAGTCTTGGGATTGAGCCCCATGTTGGGCTCCCTGCTCACTGTGGAGTCCACTTCTCCTCTTTCTCTCTGCCGCCCCCCCCCCACTCGTTCTCTCTCTCTCAAATAAATAAATAAAATCTTAAAAAAAAAAAAGAAATCAAGGTCTAAATCAGAGATCATTCCAAAGGGAGAAAGGAAGGAATAGACAGAAGCTAAATCCTGCTGTGTTGTAGGCATCCACATAGCTCCCTTATGGCTCATTGCCTTAACACCTTACAACACTCTTGGGAGGCTCACATGATTACCTCCATTTTGCAGATGAAGTAAGTGAGGCTTAGAGAAGTTGTTAATGAGCATGAGGAAACGAGTTCTCTGAGGATTGGGATGTTCTTAGTGGTCTCCTTAGTTCAGTTTCCTGAGATGGAATATTTAGAGAAGGTGAAATAAAGCCATATTTAGTATACCAGAGAGGGTAGGTTTTAAGAATGGTCTCAGTGTTAATATGAGAAAATGTGCTGTCACCTCAGAAAAATGTGAAGTCTACTTTTGTACTCCTAAATCCATTGAGTTCCTTAATATTTATTTATTCTAACAAAAAAAAAGTTACTACAACTAATGATACCTTTAATTCACACTATTTTTTTTTCTGTGACTGCCTGTTGAATGTTAATCGTATTTAAGGGAATGCCTTTGAAATAAAGCCTTTTTTCCCTGCTACTGAAAAAGATGGAGCTGTATAGAGTGGTATAGTCTTGAAGCGTAGGGAACACACCCAGAGCTAATGGTGGAGTCTAAGAATCATCTTTTTTTTCAACTTCTTTAAATGACCCCACCCGAGAAGAAATGTTTTACACTGGATCTTTCTCATCTAGAACGAGAACTCTTTTGGAATAGAAGATGTTTACATGTCTGTTGCTGGTCATCTCTGTGTCTTAAATACTTTAATATTGGAAGACTGTAGTGTTTGGGCAAGTGGGTTTCCACTAGCCCATGGGGATGGGCTGAAACTACTAAATCCGTCCTTGTTTGCAATGATGGTCCATGTTGTTATCTTGGAAATAAATTAATATATTGTTTTCACCTTTGGGGCTATTGTGTATTTTTATCTGAGGGTTGGTTAATATCCACTAAATACAAACAAAGGGGTGCCTGGCTGGCTCAGTCAGTGGAGCACCTGACTCTTGACCTCACGGTTGTAAGTCTGAGCCCTACGTCGGGTGTAGAGATTACTTAAAAATAAAATCTTAAAAAAAAAAAATACAGGGGCGCCTGGGTGGCTCAGTCATTAAGCGTCTGCCTTCGGCTCAGGTCATGACCCCAGGGTCCTGGGATCAAGCCCCACATCGGGCTCCTTGCTCAGAGGGAAGCCTGCTTCTCCCTCTCCCACTCCCCCTGTTTGTGTTCCCCCTCCCACTATGTCTCTCTCTGTCAAATAAATAAATAAAATCTTTAAAAAAAAATACACAGGGATACCTGGGTGGCTCAGTAGGTTAAGCATCTGCCTTCAGCTCAGGTCATGATCCCAGAGTCCTGGGATCGAGTCCCCACATCGGGCTCCTTGCTCAGCAGGGAGTCTGCTTCTCCCTCTGCCTGCCACTCCCCCTGCTTGTCTCTGAGAAATAAATAAATAAAAATAAATAAATACATACATAAAAATAATTAAACTTCTAATTTTAGAATAGTTTTAGTTTTATAGAAACTTTACAGAAAAATTGCAGATAGTACTGAAAGTTCGCATATACACCCCACTCAGTTTCCCATTATCAACATATTACATTAGTATGGCACATTTTACTGAGATTTCCTAAATTTTTACCTAATGTCCTTTTTTGGTTCCAAGATCCCATCTAGAATGCCACATCATGTTTAGTCAACAGGCTTCACTGGGCTATGACTGTCTCTCAGACTTCTCTTGTTTTGATGACATTGACAGTTTTGAGGGGTACCATTTGGCTCTTTTGTAAAGTGCCGCCCCCAATTTTGTCTCATGTTGTGCTCATTATTAGATTGGACTTTTGGGTTTGGAAGAGGGTGACCACAGAGGTGAAGAGCCAGGGTCCATTCTTTCTAAATGACTTATCAGAGTTGAGGCTAACCTTGATCACCTGACTTAAGCACTGTTTGTCAGTTTTCTCCACTGAAAAGCTACTCTTTTTTCCCCTTTCCATATAGTACTCTTTGGAAGGAAGTCACTATTGGCAACCTGTATATAAGGAACAGGGAGTTATGCTCCACCTTCTTTAGAGTAGGATACCTACATAAATTATTTAGAATTCTTCTATAAAAGAGATTTGTCTCTTTTCCCCAATTTACTTATTAAAAATTTTATTTACATCAACGTGGGCTCATAGATGTTTATTTTAAACTTCAGGGTATAATCCAATAGTACCTTGGTCGCCTGGGTAGTTCAATCAGTTAAGTGTCTACCTTTGGCTCAGGTCAGGGTCCCAGGGTTCTGGGATCGAGTGCCGCGTCAGGCTCCCTGCTTCCCCTCTGCTCGTGGTCTCTCTCTCAAATAAATATATAAAATGTTAAAAAAAAAAAAATCCAGTACCACCTTTTTTTTCTCCAATTGTTCCAGGTATGGCCATAGGTAGTTCTTTCAGTCAGCTCCAAGTCTTTGACACATCCCCATCACTGTAGGTTTTTCCTTGAATACTTTCTTATTTTCTGGCATTGCAAGATGCTCCACTCGAGCATCTCTTACTATTCCCTTACTCAGTTTTGAGCATAAATGACAAGTATAATAGCCATGGCATGAGAAGTTCATGGTGATCAGAGGCTCAGACTCTCAGATGAGGGTCTGGGTCACCTCACCAAGTAAGCTATACAGACCTGCAGAGGTGCTAGTGAAGATTATGGGGAATCTGAAATGGGAAAGAGAAGGAGACACTGGGTATCTGTTATGGCTTCAAGACCAGCTGCAGTGATGGAAGCTGTAGGTCATTCCACTAATCTTGCCTTTATAAGTTTTCCTCAAGAAAAGACACTCACAGGATTTAGAGGATCTGCTCTCTCAGTTTATAGGAAGAAATTGATCCAAGCTGCTCAAGTGTGGATGATGCACTGGACAAATGGGATCTTCTCAGGACTGAAGCTCTCAGCCTTCCCTGGAAATTACTCTGTCTAGGAGAGTGACCCCACCCCACATCACATCCCATCTGGGGTCAGCCTACACCCAATTCCAGGAGTGTGTGGGGCTATAAAAGCCCAATGCCCTCACCTTAACCTGGGCCCATAGCACCTGATGAGCTCTCTGGGGTGGAACGAGGCCTTATTGTTATTGTGTCACAGCCCAACTTCTTTCCTTAATCCTAAACCCTTCTCTTCCTCCATAAATACTGAATGTGAAGAGCTCCCTTGCACACTAATCATTTTAGAGCCTGATTTTTGGAGAACCTCACCTGTAACATGTTCCCTACACAAAAGATGATACAAAACTGTACTTATATTTTCTTTTTTAACTTTCATAGTTGTTTTTTTTTTCTTCCCTCTATGTTTAACTGTTAAGGATTTCAGCCATCTAGAATGTATTTTGTCATATGATTGCAGGTAGGCACCTAAATTCTTACTCTGCTAAGGAAAACCAGTTATCCCAATATCTTTCCCCCATTGCTTTGAAATGCCAATATGATCATGTATTAAATTCTCATATACTTGGGGGTCTTTTTCTGGAATCTATTCTGTTCCACTGATTTTTTTGTCGATCCACATGCCAAAACTATTTCAAAAATTACAGTAAATCTCTGCTCTGTGGCAAGACAAAGAATCCTTTACTGCTCTTTTTCAACATTTTCATGGTAATTTTTGCTCATTTACTTTCAGGCAAATGTTAGAAACAGTTTACCAAATTCCTTGAAAAATCCTATCAGGATTTTAATGGAATTTGCACAGAATTCATATTGATTAATTTTGAGGCAATTATACCTTGACAATATCAATCTGTAATATGTCTATTTATTCAGGTCCCCTGTTGTGTATTTTACTAATATAGTTTTCTTATGCAAGTCTTGCACATATCATGTTATTATTAATTGCCTGTATTTTTTTCTAAAGATCTTATTTATTTATTTGACAGAGAGAGACACAGCGAGAGAGGGAACACAAGCAGGGGGAGTGGGAGAGGGAAAGCAGGCTTCCCGCGAAGCAGGGAGCCCAATGTGGGGCTCCATCCCAGGGCCCTGGGACCATGACCTGAGCCGAAGGCAGACGCTTAAGGACTGAGCCACCCAGGCGCCCTTAATTGCCTGTATTTTAAAGAGTTCCTGTGCTTACTGAGAATGGGATTTTTTGGGGGGGGGATGGGATTTTTAAAATATATTTGTTTTGTTGTTGGTAGCATAAAGAAAAACAACTGATTTTGATCATGTATGTGGATTTTATTAAACTTTTTCATTATTCCTAATAGTTTCTCATTGTGTTTTCTTTTCTCCTTTTCTTTTTAAGTAGGCTCAACACCCAGCATGGAGTCCAATGTGGGGCTTGAACTCACAACCCCAAGATCAAGACCTGAGCTGAAATCAAGAGTTGGACACCCAACCAACTGAGCCACCCTGTGGTCTTCCTCTTCCAAACCCAAAAGTCCAATCTAATCATGAGCAAAACATGAGACAAAACCAGTGGGGCACTTTACAAAATACCCCACTAGTGCCCCTCAAAATTGTTAAAGTCATCAAAATGTGTTCTCTAATAGTTCCTCAATCTATTATACCTCACATTTTCTGGTAATTATCTATAAATACCAGTTTTGCCTCTTCCTCCTCAAAATTAAATCATCTTGTTTCTTTTTTATTTTTGTCTTCTAACATCGGCAGAAATTTGCAACACAATTTTAAATGGTAGCAGTGATAGCAGTTACCCTTGAGTTGTTCCCAACATTAAAGGGCATGTTAACTCTTGTGCATGATGTTGGAGGTTTGATATAGGTTTCTGGTAGATACTCTTTATTGAAAAGAATACCAGAAAATAAAGATATGTTGAAATATATTATGACTCTAATATATACATATATATATATATATATATCTCCTAGTTGCTATCTCTTTTTTTGTTGCATGATACAATTATGGGTGACTGGCTTTTAAAATTTTTCTTTACATATATTACTTCAAAAAATGAGGGGGAAAAGTCACTACTCCTAAACTTTTTAAACAGTAAGAATTTAGTGTAGTAGTTGATGTCAAGTGGGAAACTGAAGCAGGGATCCATTTGAACAGACTAAGCAAACAATTGAAGTTTGAGAAGACTAACGACCGAGCTGGAAGATTCCTTATTGTAACTACTCCCTCTTCTGGCCAGGATGGCTTAGGGATTAAGCGCCAATGGGAAACAGACCAGAGGTCAACCTCTCAGAGCCAAGTTCTAACTTTGGAAAGAGGACTAACAGCAATGTGTCTGAGATGAGGAGGGTAAGAGGTGAAGTTGTCCATGCTCACTTTTCCACGAGGAACATCTACAAACTTAGAAAGTGGGGTACCTACTGTAGCTATCTGGAAGACTAACTTGGCAAGTCCTGTTGTGAGCCCAGGAAGCCTAACCTACATCTTGGGAAGGATCCTGGGGTCTGTATCAGATAAGTGGGCTGAATGATACAAAAATAAATGGTTCTTAAGAAAAGAGGACAGAATTCAGAAACTGATGGACAGCATCAAGTGTCAAACAGTAGAAGGGAATCTCGGGCATAACTGTCATCAGGAGCTGAGGATGTGAGGCGAAACAGTTAAGAAAGTTAGTACAAGATTAAAGTGAATTATTTATGAAATTCAGGCCATTTATTTCAGCTAAAGTGAATTATTAGTGAACTTCAGGCCAGGTACACAAGGCAAAAATGTAGGGTTTTAGAGGGCTTCCTTAAAATTTTTTACTTTGAAATAAGGTTAAACTTAGAGAAAAAGTTACAAAAATGACAGAGTTCTTGTATATCCTTCAACCTGCTACTTCCAAAGCTAACATCTTACATAATCAAAGTTTAATGATCAAAACCAGTTTGTTTGGTTTTTAACTCTGCGCCATCTGTGTGTTGAGAGTTGCGGCCAACTGACTTTTACCTTTGCACAGGACAGACCAGATGGTATGTCGTGA